CTCTCATAAAGAGGATTAAAACGCGCAAGTGTGAGCAGGATTGGATTCATTAGAATATAACTTTGTGGGATATATTGTAGGACAATTTGATACGGCGTAGTTTTTAAGATGGCTCACTCGGCCTCAACGTAGAGACTGTCAATGGGAGAGGTTCTGGAAAGACCCAATACTAAAAGTCTTAGACCCTGGTGGGATGGATAGAATCAAGTAGTTTGAGGTTTCGTTTTTCTGCATTCCCACCCATACGATAGAGGCGTAATCAAGCTTCGAGCGACCTCAGTGATCTGTGCTGGTGTAGGAGCGTAGCTTGATCCCTCCCCACCTTGAATTAGATTACTGACTTTCAATAAATCGAGTGCCTTCAGGCATTTAATTTTAAGAGATTTGATATGCGGGAAGAAAAGTTAAATTGGAGTCGAAAATGAGATTCCAAGAACTTGGCCTCCTTTACAACCTTTAATGGGAGAGCTACTTAAATTTAGTTCTGGGTCCTTATGTGGCTTATATTTTCTGACAGAAGTGTACTACAATTAGCTTTTGATTTAGAAAATTTAAAACCCACTTTTCAAGACACCCATTTATTTATTTTGTTTAAACACAATTGCAGTTGCTGTTCAATAGTATGCATATTTTTACCTACGACAAGAAATATTAAAATCATCCACAAACAGAGTGACCCATCGATTGAATTATTTAAAAACCTTATTTGACAAACTTATTTTATCTTTATGCTAAAAAGTGTTACAGACAAATACTGCCTTGTGTGGGACACCCTGATCCTGATTGTAATGATCAGACAGGGTAGAACCCACGCGGACTTGAAATTGCCTTACAAGTTAAAAAACTTGATATGAAGTGAGGCAAACGGCCCTGCAAACCAAATCGTGTAAATCTCTTTAAAATCCTTATGTTTCCATGTAGTGTCATATGCTTTTTCTAAATCGAAAAGACCGACACTGCATGTTGTTTTGGAATAATGGCATTTTTAACAAAGGATTCTAAACGCACTAAATGATGGTCGATCGTACTTCTGTTTTTTACGGAAACCACACTGATATCTGTTATAAGGTTATTGGTTTCTAAGTACCAAACAAGTCGATTATTTATCATGCGTTCCATGGTCTTGCAAACAAGGAGCTTGTTAGGTGAAATCGGTCGTGATAATTCGAAGGTGGATCTGTGCATGGTCATTGTCCAGGTTTAGGGATCGGGAACAATAATAGCATCCCGCCAAGAAGCAGGAAATTTTCCAGATGTCCAAACATTATCAAAAATGGTTAAGAGGGTCTCTCCTAAACATGATTCTGGTAGGTGTTTTAGAAGCTGATAATGTATGTTATCAGCCCCTGCAGCAGTATCATGAGCCTGTTCAGAACAGAATGAAGCTCATGAATAGAAAATACAGTTCATTGTAATCTTCCCATTATCTGAATTGAAATTAACAGGTTTCTTTTCCTGTTGATTTTATAATTTTGGAATTGAGGTAAATAATTCGATGAGGAAGAGCAAGTTTGGCCAAAGTTTCTCCAAGTTTATTTGCAATATCAGATTTACTAGTTAATAATTCGTCTCCATCTTGTAGATGCTTAATGCCAGATTTAGGAACTCTTTACTTTTATTTTCTCTGATCATATTCCATACCTTTGATATCGGCGTTCGTGAATTTATTTGTGATACATAATTTCGCCAGGATTGACGACGTTTATTTTGCTTTTGAAGGCATGCCGCGCCCTAGCATTTAACATTTTAAATTTTATTCAAATTATGGACTATAGGATGAAGATTTCGGAAATAATTTCAGCTTTCTTCCGTGCCGTCCTTCAGCCTCTGTTTGGTATCCTCCAGTTAAACCATGGTTTTCGGATGTGTGGAATTGCAGAGGATTTGCATGACACATCAGCCACTTTATTGAGTCTATCAGAGGTAATCAAGTTTTATACGCATCAGAAACATCTATAAACAGTGCAGGTTGAAGTCTGTTACAACAGAGAGTTTGATATAAATTCCAGTTAGCTTTTTTAAAGTTCCATCTAGGAGGATGGGGTATTATCAGATGGGTTCACAGGCTTTTACTATTGTTGGGAAATGGTCACTTCCACAAAGATTCCATTGTGGGACTGACCATTCAAATTCATTCAATAGGTCTGGGGTCTGTAATTTGATAAAATCTAGAGCTGAATAAGGTTCCCGTGCCAGGATGTAGCCATTAGGTGTTGGAACTACCAATATAGATGCATAAATCATTATCTGAACAGAACTCTTCCTAATAGTTTTTACCTTTTAGCATTAGTATTTGTAACACTCACCTCAGAGTGGCTTGTAATGCCATTTAAATCTCCCATAATAATACAGGGTTGTGGGGAGTTGGTCATATAGATTTTGAAGTTCACTCTTCTGAAGAGCTGAAGACGGTGAGACATACACAAAGAGCATAATGTGAGCAAAAGATGAAAAGTGAGTCAGAACGGTAACAGCCTGTAGGACTAGCAGTATAGTGCTAAAACAGGGCTATGGATAATATTCCTGCCTCGATGAGGATGGAAGATCCGCCAGTGGCCCCATGTCACCCGGAGTGAAAATAAATGATACGCATTGAAATGGCGTAAGTCAAAAGTGTCCGTCTGTTTTAAACCATGTCTCCTGCGACAGATTGCTGATGGTGTGCTAATCTTGGACTCATTGAAGCTGCAAATTCACTGAAGCTGGTCTTTAGTCCCTCTCGCAATTCCACTTGTATGGATATTATTCTGATAACCTATCTCTTTGGGGGATTTATGGGACTCTACCCTGCACTTGTTTGGTGGGCGACAAGCCAGGTATTCCCAGGGCATGGACGGCTCTGCCAGTTACGTCCATATCATCAAGAGATCCTTCTTATTTGTTGTATTAACTGTATTCTGTTTTCTGACCCTTTGGGGGTCTTCCACTTTGTGCTTTTGAGGGTCCAGGGTTTGTGGTTTATTTTTGGCTTTACCCAGTTTGTTGACCAGTAGATGACGATTGAGACTTTGAACCTCGGCTGAGACTGTTTACCAGAAAGATGACGCTGGACTGCTTCTTTCAGACATAACATTGGAAGCTGAGTCTGTAGTTTGAGAAGACATTGCAGGGTACAAGAGCTCTGGAGAATCGCTTTCGACCCAAGTCAAATTTTATTTTGACAGCTTGTGGACAATTTGGGCACTCTTTAGAGCTTGACTCAGATGCTGCTTGCGGGTTACTGGAAGCATTATGTTCTCCTGGTCAGAAGTCTCATTACAAGTTTTTGGCTCTCGGAAAAGTTTTAAATGTCTCTGGTAATTCTGATCTTGTTAATTTTGTGCATTTGTTCTTTTCCAACAGGACAATCTTTGGAGAAGGATGGTTCGTCTCGCCTGAGCAGTTGGTGCATTTTAAAATCATCTGTTAGCAATAATCTTCTGTTGTGTGTGTCTTCCTTCTACAGTGACGCTTGTGGACAAGTACATATCGCCATTAATAATAATGTGCAAGTATTTACACCATGTCCATATTTCTGGCAATTTAAAAACACCCTTGAGCGGGTTAGGGATGTAGGTGCTTTCAACTTGGACGTTAAGCAGTAACCCGCTCCAGTGATTTGGGATGATTTGAGACGGCAAAGGCAAACAGATATGCATTAGCCTTTGAAAGTTTCCCATTGTTTTCCGGAGTTGTAAAACGTTTGACATAAAGCACGCCTTGGTCCTTCATTTCAGACACTCATGTCGTAAGTCTCCGGACATGTCAGCAGAACGAATCTGTCACGATCTCTGACAAATCGCCTTTGCTCGTAAGCTTAAGTGTTTTAGGATGCAGGACCGTGGACCGGAATACTGACAGTTGTTTTCGTGCTCAGGAAGGTTCGTGGCTTGATGTCTTTCGCACACTCAACAAGTAGAGCACCAGAACGCAACTCGCTTTACTGCCTTTTAACATCACCGGCAATACCTTGTATACCCTCTGAGATTTGGCGTAAAAGGATCCACCTCTCTCAATGGTGTCTCGTCAACAGTTCTCCAAGCTAGAAGAAAACGTGGCCAATAATCAAGGAGTTGGGCAGTCTATGGTCAGTCCCAACAGGATCAGTGTCAAGTGTATCAGCTTGGTCTTTTTTATGGGGGCTCCATAAGCCATGTTTAGTTTTTTTAGAATCTATCATCCGAGCTCCCACCCACCACGGAGTATCACAAGGACAATGCTAAAACCAAGTGGATTTCCAACTTGCAGCACCAAGGATAAATTCTGGATGATATAATCTAGCAGAAGAATTAAAAAGATTAATAGTTCCAATCCAGATTGGCCCATGAGCCACTGCCTTCTGGGCATAAGAGACTCTAGGCAAAAGTTCATAACATTGATAATAATTCAAAATCACAAACTGTTTTAGATAAACAAGTAAGCCTGAAATTAAAACACCTTAAATGTAATTTGTGCAATGACATATATAGATATAGTCTATAATAATAGGGCTTGAGTGTGACCAGCCGATTGATAGAATCCCATTATCTCTACTAACTGTCTAGGGTGAAGTGCATGGGCGAAGTGGTGTGTTGGGTAAAGGAATCACTAATCCTGAACCAATGCCCCTCAACCACTCTCCCAGTCCCTCCAATCGACACAGGGCGCAAACCCATTTACAAACGGGTTGGTGGGATCCTGAAAACATCCCATGGTCCACTGGGGTATTGAAGGATCCTTTTAGGACCCAGAACCCAATCCACGAGGAGGTGAATCCTCATGGCCCTGTGGATGAGTGTAGATGAAGATGCAATGTAGTGAAGATGTATGATCGATGTATCGCTGACGTATGACGATGGACGATGGATGGATGATGGATGATGATGGATGGATGACGGATAGATGATGGATGGAATGGATGGACATGATCATGAGACATGGACAAGGAAGGATGGATGGATGGAATGACGGACAAGGAATGGACAAGGATGGACAAGGACATGGACAACACAGATGGACACTGACAAGGACAGGATGGACAGATGGCAGATGGAGGACACAACAGACAAGGACACAGGAATGGACAAGGACATGGAAGGATGGACAAGGACAAGGATGGACATGGACAAGGACATGGACAAGGATGGACACACAGGACAAGGACGGACAGGACACGATGGACAACGAAGGACACACACATGGACAAGGACAAGGACAAGGACAAGGAAGGACAGGATGGATGGACAAGGACAGGATGGACACATGACAACGATGACACACGAGGAAGGATGGACACATGGACACACACGGATGGACAGGAATGGACTGAGCTGGAGGACAGCACGAAGGACAAGAAGACAGGATGGACAGGATGGAATGGATGGACTGACACAAGGATGGACAGACACACATGGACACATGGAGACAATGGATGACAAGGACACAGGATGGACAAGGACACATGGACAAAGGATGGATGGAGGATGGATGGATGGATGGAAGGAAGGATGGATGGACAAGGATGGATGGACAGACAGGACATGGACGAGGATGGTGGACAAGGATGGATGGACAAACGAAGGATGGAAGGACAAGGATGGAGAAGGAAGGATGGATGGATGAGGATGGAGGATGGATGGAATGGATGGATGACAAAGGATGGAAGGATGGATGGATGGAAGGAAGGATATGGATGGATGGATGGATGGACATGGAGAATGGACATGGAAAAGGATGGATGGATGGATGTGGATGGATGGATGGATGGATGGATGGATGGTGGATGGATGGATGGATGAAGGATGGATGGAAGGAATGATGGATGGATGGAGGAAGGATGGATGGAATGGATGGATGGATATGGATGGATGGATGGATGAACAGATGGATGGATGGAATGGATGGAAGGATGGAATGGATGGATGGATGGATGGATGGAAGGATGGAGGAATGGAATGGATGGATGGATAAAGGATGGAATGGATGGATGGAAGGATGGAAGGAAGGAAGGATGATGGATGGAAGGATGGATGGATGGATGGATGATGGATGGATGGATGGATGGAAGGAAGGATGGATGGATGGATGGATGGATGGTGGATGGATGGAAGGATGGAAGGATGGAGGATGGATGGATGGATGGGATGGATGGAAGGATGGATGGAAGATGGATGGATGGATGGAAGGATGGGGAAGGATGGATGGATGGATGGATGGAAGGATGGAAAGGATGGATGGACAAGGATGGAAGGACAGGGATGGATGGAAGGATGGATGGAAGGGATGGAATGGACACGACACAAGGAGGATGCCACAAGGACACATGACAGGACATGGACACGGACCAAGGACACGATCCCACACTGGATGGACACAGACAGGATAGTGGATGGACGGCACAGTGGACACAGATGGATGACACAGACATGGACAGTGGATGGACAAGGACATGGACCACACTGACACAGGACAGGATGAAGGACAAGGACACAGCATACGGACAGGACACACAAGGACACACAAGGAGGATGGACAACCATGGATGGACGGACATGGACAGGACAGGACAAGGACCACAAGGACACACACAATATGGACAGTGGACAAGAAGGACAATGGAAGGACAAGGACAGACAGGACACATGGATGGACAACGGACAACAGTGGACATGGACAGGACAGAGATGGACAGAGGAGACACATGGACCACAGGAAGGACAGGAAGGATGGATGGACACAGGAAGGACATGGACAAGGATGGAACACAGACAATGGACGGACAAAATGGATGGACACATGGAAGGACACATGGATGGACAAGGATGGACACAGGACAGACAGAGAACACAGACATCAAGGAAGGAACAGACACAAGACAGAAGGATAACAACTGGACACAGAGACACATGGACATGGACAACACAGAATGGACACAGTGGATGGACACGGAAAAGAGTGGATGGACACACAGACAGGATGACAAGGAACAGGATGGACGAAACAACAGAAGGAAGAAAGAATGACACAACAGTGGATATAGAATATGGACAGGACAAGGAAGAAGGAATGAAAAACATGGAATGGACAGGAATGGATGGATGTGGAGGAGGGAGAAGACAGAATGGAAGATGAAAAAGGATGCAGTGGAATGGATGGAAAAGGATCTGAAATGGATGGACAGACTGGATGGACAGGACAGAAGGAAATGGAGATGGAGGAATGGATGGAACACATAGATGATGGATGGATGGATGGAAGAAATGAATGGATGGATGTGGAAGAAGGAAGGAATGGGATGGAAGGAAGGAAAGAAGGATGGATGACAGATGGATGGTGGAGGATGGAATGGATGGATGGAAAGTGGATGGATGGATGGAGGATGGAGGAATAGAAGGATGGAATGGAAGAAAGAAGATGGAAGGAAGGATGGATGGATGGATGGATGGATGGGATGGAATGGATGGAGGGAGTGGATGGATGGATGAAGGAAGAAAAGGATGGAAATGGATGGAAGGAATGGATGGATGGAAAAGAATGGAAAATGGAAGGAGAAGGATGGATGGATGGAAGGATGGAGATGGAAGGAAAGAAGAGAGGATAGGAAGGATGGAAGGAATGGATGGAAGGATGGATGGAAGGAATAAGGAAGAATGGATGGATAAAGGATATGGAATGGATGAAAGATGGATAGGGATGGATGGATGGAAGGAAGAAAGATGGATGGATGGAAGGAAGAAGGATGGATGGATGAAGGAAGAATGGATGGAATGGATGAAGATGGATGGAATGGAAGGAAGATGAAGGATGGATGGATGGAAATGGAGAATAGATGGGATGGATAATGGAGGGATGGATGGAATGGAGGATGGAAAGGAGTGAGAGGACAAGGATGGATGGAATGGATGGAAGGACAAGGATGGAAGGATGAAGAAGGAAGGAGAGATGGATGGATGGATGGAAGGAAGGATGGAAGGAAGAAGGAAGGATGGTGGATGGAAGGAATGGATGGATGGTGGATGGAAGGAATGGATGAAGGACGATCGCTCCAGATGTACTGGACGACGCGGACGATGTACGTGGTGACGATACGACGGATCCACCGGATGATCCCAGGAACCGATACGGCGCCGATGACGACGATGACGACCCACCGACGACGACGACGACGACCGACGACGGACGACGAACGACGACACCGACGGAACGACGACGACAGCGGAAGACGGACGACGACGACACGATCCGAGACCGACAACCCGACACGACGACGACGACGACGACGACAAGGACGGACGACGACATGGATGGATGGAAACACGGACGGACGGACGACCGGACCACACGACCGGATGGACGACGACCACGACGGACGGACGGATGGACACACACGGAAGGATGGACACGACAGGACAAACCATGGATGGACAAGGACAGAATGGACAAGGAACGTACAACGGACATGGATGGACACGTATGGATGGACATGGACACGGATGGACACGGATGGAAAGACGGCATGGATGGATGGAAGGACATGGATGGATGGATGGACAGATGAGGATGGATGGATGGAAATGGAAGGATGGATGGACCGGATGGAATGGACGGAGGATGGATGGATGGATGTGGAAACAGATGGATGGATGGATAAACAGGATGGATGGACCGAGGAAGGACAGGACGGACGGATGGACCGACCCCAGAAGGACGGCATGGAAAGGATGGACGGAAACCAGGATGGATGGACAGTGGAATGGATGGATGAAGGACGGACAAGGATGGATGGATGGATGGAGGAAGGGAATGGAAGGAACATGGATGGAAATGGATGGATGGAATGGATGGACACCAGTGGATGGATGGATGGAGTGGAAGGAGAAGGAATGGATGGATGGACAAGGATGGATGGAATGGACACGGAAGGACAGGAATGGATGGATGGAAGAATGGATGGACAAGGATGGAGGATGGACAGGAGATGGACAAATAAGGATGAATGGATGGATGGACAGGACAGGACCGGACAAGGATGGAAGGATGGATGGAAGGATGGATAAGGATGGACATGGAATGGATGGATGGACAGAGGACAAGGATGGATGGAATGGAATGGATGGACATGGAATGGAATGGATGGAAGGAAGATGGACAATGGATGGACTGAAGGGACCGGATGGATGAAGGAAAGGATGGATGGAGGGAGGATGGAAGGATGGATATGGATGGATGGACTGGATGGATGGATGGATGAAACAGGATGGATGGATGGATGGATCAGGATGGATGGATGGATGTATTGAATGGATGGATGGATGGATGGATGGAAGCAGGATGGTAGTGGAAGGAATGGATGGTGGATGGAGGATGGATGGTATGGATGGATGGGGAAGGATGTGGAAGGATGGATGTATGGATGGAGTGGATGGATGGATGGATGAAGGGGATGGATGGAAGAGGTATGGACAGGAAAGGATGAGGAAGGAATAAAGAGCACAGATGGTAGGGACTATCACAGAAATGAACTCAACGGTTTTCACACAGTATGTTGAGGAACAATTGTTGCCAGCTCTGCCTTACAAATGTCTTGTTGCCATGGACAATGCTCCCTATCACAGTGTTCGAGATCCAAACAATAGGTGCCCAACTTCCAATACAAAGAAGTCAGATATGCAGCAATTGCTAACAAATGACAATCTACAATTTTCAATGAAGGCCACTAAACCACAGTTGTACTCTTTTGATTAAACTTAACAAACCTCCACCCAAATATAACATTGACAACATGCTACGCCAACACGGCCATAAGGTCTTGAGATTACCACCGTACCACTTGTGATCTCAACCCAATCGAACTTATCTGGGGAGACCTTAAAAAGTACAGTGGCCTGAGAAATCAATCATTCAAGTTGAATGATGTCAAGCACATTGTCAACACTGCTATATGTGACATTGACATTGCACGCTGGCATGCATGTGTTGAACATGTCAAGAAGGTGGAGAAAGAGTACTGGCTCAAAGATGGCTTAAAGGAACAAACAGTTAATCCAGCTGTCATTCGTCTGGACACTGATGACTCCTCTGTGGAAGAAAGGAGTGAACTTGATGAAGTTTAATTCTGTTATTATATTTACAGATAATAATAGTATGCAGCCAGATATGCTCAAAGAAATAGAACTTCTTTTAACAATGACAGTACTGACTAATTTCAACGACTTGTAGTGTAACATGAAACACTCATTTCACATAAAGTTATCATGAAAATATAAATATTAACTATCTATATGCTTAAAGCTATTAGAAATGCACTGCTTAATTTGGAATGTGGACGACATCAAACCATAACATTTTTGTCTTCATGCTATCTTTTCTTCAATGAGTGTGCATGATTGTGTGTGCTTGTGTCCGAGGGAACGGGGCTTTAACAGTTGTTGAGTTC